ATTTAGGTTGCTTCCATGTCTTGGCTATTGTAAATAGTGCTGATATGAATATTGGGGTGCATGTCTCTTTTCAAATTAGTTCCCTATGGATATATAGCCAGAAGTGGGATTGCTGAATCATATGGTAAGTCTATTTTTAGTTTTTTTGAGGAATCTCCATACTGTTTTCCATAATGGTTGCATCAAACTACATTCCCACCAGCAGTGTGGGAGTGTTCCCTTTTCTCCACACCCTCTCCAGCATTTATCGTTCGTGGACTTTTGAGTGATGGCCACTCTGACTGGTGTGAGGTGATACCTCACGATAGTTTTGATTTGCAGTTCTCTGATAATTAGTGATATAGAGCATTTTTTTCATAAGTCTATCCTCTGGTTGTTCCTGAGATTATCTCCTTAGATTTGGTTTCCAGCAGTTTGACAATGATAGCCTACATACTGTTCTCTTTGTGTTTATTCTACTTAAGTTTCATTGAACTTTTCAAATCTGTGAGAAAATCCTTAACCATTATCTCTCTAAATATTACTCCTGCCTTTTCTCTCCCCTCTCCTTAAACTTCAATTTTTTGATGTGTTAAAACGTTCTCTATGGTACCACTTACTCAGATGCTCTATCCCCCCCTCATTTCTTCTTTGTTTCAATTTGTATAATTTCTACTGACATGTCTGAAAATTCACTGATTCTTTTTTTGGTACTATTTTCAGTCTCCTTATTAGCCCATCAGGAGAATTCTTTACACCCAATACTGTATTTTTTTATTTGTAACATTTACATCAGTCTCTTTTATTAAAAATGTATATGAAAGTTTCTTTTTCACAGCTGAAGCTGTCCATCTGTTCATGCATTTTGCCTATCTTTTCCATCATGTCATTTAACATGTTTATTACAGTTAAATTAAACTCCTTCTCTAATAGTTCTAACATCTGGGCCCTGTCTGGGTCATGCTAGATTGACTGTTTTCTCTCCTTATGATGGGTCACATCTTACTTTTTCACATGTGCAAAATAACCATAGAGAAAAAATAAATAATATTTATGTTCCATAAAAGACACTCTGTTTTCTGTGGGAAATGGAGTCAATCTAATCTACAGTTGATCAAGCTGTGGGCTTTGTTGTGGCTTTAGGTAGATCCATTTTATTATTGACTTCAAATGACATGATGGCAGAAATACAACCCCCTCAAGAGGGCTTGGGATGTGACTACATGTGGGGTTTATTTTAGCTCTCTGCTCTTTCCTCATCCTTCAGCAGGCCCAGTGCACCTATGCCTGGTGAAGTGGGAATTGTGTGTGTGTGTGTGTTGTGTGTTTGGTTCTCTCTCATCTTTTCAGCTTCTCTTTAGCCTAGACAGAAACATTGCACAGGGACAGATTCTAGAGATACTTACCTGTCTTAGTCTTTTTGGGCTGCTATAGCAAACATACCATAGACTGAATTGCTTAAACAACAAATATTTATTTCTCATCATTCTGGAGGCTGGGAAGTCCAAGATCAAGGTGCTGGCATACTTGGTTTCTGGTGAAGGCTGCATTCCAGGTTCATAGATGGCTGTCTTCTTGTGTTTTCACATAGTAGAAGGAAGAAAGGAGCTCTCTGGGCTCTCCTTTAAAAGGACACTAATCTCATTCATGAGAGTGTCACCCTTATAACCTAATTCTCTCCCAAAGATCCCACCTCCAAATACCATCACCTTAGGGGTTAGGATTTCAACATATGAATTTTGGGGGGGACATAAACATGCAGTCTATTGCATTACCTGAGGCATGAACTTGGTGCATGAATTTGTACAGGCCCAGATCTCAGCTTATCCCTAGATGGCTCACTTCTAGCTTCGTAAAGCAAAGCCAACTTGGTTTTCAATATATTTCAAGATACTTGCTAGGTAAGGGCTTAAAACAGTGCCTCACAGTGTACAGTGGGTGTGGATTTAAGCTAAAGAAATTATCCCATTCAGAATCACATTAAGGTAAGTTCCTGGCTATTTTATATAAAAGGCTATACCGCAATTTTTTGTCCATTTGTCTGCTGATGAACAACTGGATTGTTTCTAGTTTTTCACTATTAAAAACAAAAGCTTCTTACACATGAATGTTTACAGCAGCTTTATTCATAATTGCCCCAAACTGAAAACAACCAATAGGTGAATGAACAATCACACTGCGGTACATCTATACAACGAAACATTATTTATATTATTGAACAATAAAAATAAGTGGGCTATCAATTCACAAAAAGAGAGAGAGGAACCTTGAATGCATACTGCCAAGTGAAAGAAGTTAGTCTGAAAAGGCTACATACTGTATGATTCCAACTATATGACATTCTGGGAAAAGGTAAAACTATAGAGACAGTTAAAAAGATCAGTGGTTGCCAGAGGACTTTTGTTTTTACTTTTGTTTTGTTTTGTTGTTTTCGGTGATGAATAGGTGAAATGCAGGGCAATTTTAAAGCAGTGAAACTATTGTGTTATGCCTACAGCTCAAATTGTCATTGCACTATTTATGTACATACTTGATTTTAGTATTGAAAAATAAGGGCACTTGCTCTCCAAAGTGACTAAACCAAGTTATACTCCTATGTTCACTGTCAGAGACTTTCATTGTTCCTCACACTCACTGAAACTCGGAACTGCCAGAAATATTTTTCCCTTGTCCACCTGTTGTGTGTACAATAGCAACTCATCGTGATTTTGATTTGTGTTTTCCTAATTACTCCTGAGGGTGGGCATAAATCATCTTTTTGTAAACAATCTTTCTAAATAAACCATAAGTTTTTCTTCCTTCTGAAAGAGGAGATATTTCATATAGTTTAATTTTTCTGATGAGTCATGGCCTCTATATATGCCCATCTGTCTTCAAGACATAAGAGAATGTTATCTTTGGTCAGTTTGCACTTAAAACGAATGGCCCCAGTTCCAAGATCCCTGAAACTTTTCTGGTATTTCACATTCAAAGCCTCCTGGCTTCCTCAAGAGGTTATAATCACCCCAGACCGCCTTGCTGTCTCCCTCAGCTTGACTAAATATTGGACAGGCTTCTTCCTGACTCTACACCCCTGACTTTCCTTTCCCTGGAAAACTTTTCCTTCTAAATCTTTTCTCTGCCTCTTTGAATTATTAACCTTTTAAAAAGCCTCTTACCAGTTTTACAATCTAACAATGTCTTTCTCAAGGACCTGGGCACCATCTCTTTGAAATGTAACCATCAAGGAAGAAAGTGCCCCCAGCTCCCAGTCTGTGGGTGCCTGGCTCCACGTTGTAAAATTACCTTCTGTCATAAAGATACGTGACAGCAAATGCCAACTAGGAAATACATATGGCCTGTGAATCCCCTCTAATGTCCTCCAATACTTTTATACTAGCTCATCCCAGGGCTTAAAAACTCTCCCAATCTTTCTTTCAATAGAGTTGAATTAGGATGTGTTTTGGCCTCTCTCCTCTATTGCAATAGCCTTGAATAAAGTCTTCCTTGCCTGTTTAACTTTGCCTGATGTAGTTTTTGCTTTGATACATGCCAAGTAGATGCTTCTCAAATTTACCAGTCAGACAAAAGACTCATCTTCCCTGGAGTAGAAACAGTAACAGGGTGAAAAAAATCAAAGGTATTACACTAAGCTCTCTTCACATGGGAGGGAAGATCAAAACAAGGAAAGAAGTGCCCCCACCAAATGATGACGTTTAACATTGCTACTTTCACATGTTCACTTATAACATCAATTTTTCTACCCCATTCTGTTTTCATTTCTTGACCCAGGATCAATATCTCCCCAAGATAACTGAAAGAGTAACATTTATGTTAAACATCAAAAATTATAACAAAATGTCTAAAACTAGAACATTTTCTTGGGTCTGTGTTACCTGGACATTGACTTTATTACAAAATATTATTGCTGTCAGTTTTGAAAATGGGGAAACTGAAGCCCTTTAGTATTAAGCAATTTCTCTAAATTGGAAGTGACCTTACATGCTATCTAGTTGAACTTCTACCTGATGTATGAACTGTCTGTGTGATATCACTCTCTAGTGAAGATGAATTTCTTCTTTCTATAACTCTGACATTTCAATTTCTTTTGCTCTGCTAGGAATTACCTTCCCAACTATTAAACATACTGAGTTGAGTTCTGTCTTCAAAAGCCATTCAGAATAAATCTCATTACAGATGAGCTTCCCTCTTTACAAAATAGGCAGATGGATGGACAGTAATAATTTTGGAACTATAGATACCTCTAGGGTGAATGGCACCAAAAAGAGGCTCAGGAAGAGTGATGGACCAAGACCTGTCAGAGGCACAAAGGGAAGGAAGCCCAGGCAGAGACACAGAAGTAGACCTCAGTTCTACTGCGTATGGCTGGTCACCTGGAGTGCTGGACTTGAGTTGCTAAGTCAGTTGGCTTGCAAGTACAAACTCTTGATAGTATTCTGTGTTCAGGACCCAGGATACTGTGCTGAGAGAGGTTCCAGAAGAGGAGGAGATGCCATCTGTTCTTTGCCTGGTGGTCAAGAAATTGTCCCTGCTCCTGGGAGACCCTAATCCTATAGGAAGACAACATGTGCTTGTACCTGCACACACACACACACACACACACACACTCTCTCTCTCTCTCTCTCTCTCACATGCATGCATGCACACACAGAAGAATGTACTAACAACTCAAGCAATTGCACAGACGTTGAAACTGCTGCAAATTGAGTAACTGATCGCAGTTGTTCCTTAAAATATGTTAAGATACTGGGAACTCAGACTTACTGAACAAGGAGAAATTTGGTCAAGAAAAAGTAAAAAATATTAATTTTCATTCACTTGGAAGGAGTGAATGAGGAAAGAGAATGGGAAGGGGAATGAGGAATGGGTGCAAAAACTCTAGGCCAACCAGGGGGCCCTAATAAAGTGGCCTTGATTGGTGGAGATATATATATATATATTATATATTATATATTATATATATATATATTATAAAATATATATATATGTTTATATATATGTATATATTGTATACTTATTAAATTGTATTATAAATAAATAAGACTGGGTACAATATTCTACTCTTGTCATCTACACCATTTCTTATGAACTCTTGGCTTAGGTGTGCTAACTGCTATTAGCTTGATATACACACCAGGAAGCATCAGGAATGAGGACCCACAGGAGAAGACTCACTGATGAGCACGGCCACGGAGGTGCTGGCTAGGACATCCTCCTGCCCATCAGCTCCCTCAGGCCCCGCTTCACGTCTTTGTTCCTCAGGCTGTAGATGAAAGGGTTCAGCATAGAGGACAAAACTGTGTAGATGACTGTGGCCACCCGATCCTTGATGGTGTAAGTGGACAGGGGTCGGAAATAAACATAAATAATGCTTCCATAGAAGAGGGTCACCATGGTGAGGTGGGAGCCACAGGTAGAGAGAGCCTTATGCTTCCCAGCAGCTGACGGGATCTTCAGAACAGCAACAAGGATTCGTAGGTAAGAGATGATAACACATATAAAGGGGGTCACCAAAGTGATCAGCCCTTCTGTGTTAATTACAATTTCACTGACAAACGTGGAGGAGCAGGATAATTTCAGCAGAGGGTTGATGTCACAGAGGAAGTGGTGAATGACGCTGGAGTCACAAAAGAGAAGACGATCTATCAGGAGAACCAGTAAGAGAGAATGGAGGTGAGCGATGGAGCAGGAGAAGGCCACCAACAGAACACAACGACGGTGGCTCATGGCAGTGACATACTGGAAGGGGTCACAGATGGCCACATAGCGGTCAATGGCCATGGCTGCCAGGAGGTAACTTTCTGTGTTGGCAAAAGCCAAGAAGAAATACATCTGAGTCATACATGCAGCATAAGAGATAGTCTTCTTCTTTGACAGAAAGTTCATCAGCATTTTGGGGACGATGGTTGTTGTATAGCAAACATCAATAAAAGACAGAATGCTAAGGAAAAAATACATGGGTGTCTGGAGCTGAGTGTCAGAGCGGATAGCCAAGATGATAGGCAAGTTTCCCACCATGGTAACCACATACATGATGAAGAACAGGGTGAAGAGTGGCTTCTGGTCCTCCGGACGGGAGGAGAGTCCCAGGAGGATGAACTCGGAGACACTGCTCGTTCGGTTGACCCTCTCCATGGTCCTGCATGGGCCAACAAATATAGAAAGACTCTAGATTTTTCAGTTCAACAAGTTTCAATTTATTCCTATCTCTCTTAGGCTTCCTATAGATGGTCCACAATTTTGTCTTCCCTTCCCACAAAAATGAGTTGAACAATAAAAAAGTTTGGCTTGTATTGAATGAAAGGACATCAGAGAGTGGATTTCCCTTCAGAAAGAATCCCAGGTGGACTTCAGTGATGCGTATTTCTCTAGTTTCCCCCAAATACTTATTAGCTATGTCAGGCTGAAGCTCATCTCTCTACTGTCCTTGCAAACAAAACAAAACAAATAAACAAACAAAAACAAATGACCAAGTGAATCAGGCAAATAAGATGCATGCTGACACAGGCACACTGTGTTTATAGTCCCCCTTTCAGAGGGAATATTTTCATTCAAACCTGGTTTTAAAAAAGCTATATTATATATGAACCTGTGTATTAAAATTGTCCTAAAATGTTGGGGATTTATGCTCTCACAATTATTCAACACCATTGTATTAGGAGCCCAATGCTGAGATTATAACAATGAGTGATTCTGAGCTCCTATTCTTAAGGTGATAAAAGCTGGGTGGGGAAGACAAACTTTTAAACAAGTAAGTGCAATATGGTGCTATAGGCGTAGTGACAGACACACTGGAAAACAACAAGCCTCGTGTGGTGCCTCTGCTAAGAGCACACATTTTGAAATTAGCTCCTGCACCTTCTGGCTGTGTGGTCTCGGGCTGACTACCTAACATCTTTGATTCTTGGTGTCCTCGTCTGTAATCTGGGACAGTAAACACCTCCCTACTCCACATCCTCTCCTCCATCGCTTGCCTCACTTCTTCCTTTACTTCCTGCCCAAATCCTCTTCTCTGTCAGGCTTCCTGGATGCTCTTGAAAACAATTATTCTCTATTTCTTTGCACAATCCCAAGGCCTTTATAGCTTTCACTGTTTGACCACTCTTCACCTGAGTTTGTGAGACTTTGTAGGAGAAATATTTATTCGTGCTCTGTATGATTTGAAAATGAGTATGCTTTTAAGGCAAGTAATAATTATGCCTAAGATATATTGAAACTTACTATACATTAGAAACTGAGCTACAGGCTTTATGTATATTACTCAAGACAAGTCTCTGGTCTGGCTGTCAACAACATTCCCTTTTAGCAGAAAAGAAATTTGAGGTTAAAGGTGTTAAGTGCTTTTCTCAAGATCACACAGCCCTGAAGGTCCAGAGCTTGGGTCCCAATCAGGCTGGTCTTAAACACAAAATGCTTTCGTAAAGCTTCAGAAGCTTACACCAGAAACAAAAGTGCAGGGATGTTTGTTTTTCACTGTGGAATTTTCCACCTTGGCATCTTTATTCTAGTGATCGACAGGCTTGGAAAATCAGTGTTGCATGTAGTCCCTTACTATAATTGCCAAAGACTGGACCTCTCACAAGCCTCGTGTGGACCAGGGGCTGTATTTCTGCAGGGCTGCGGCAGGGCAGAAGGAAACATTCAGGATGTAGAGACAGAAGGCGTGGGTTCAAATCTTGACGCCACTATCTACTCACAATTTGTCTTTGGCAAAACCCCTTCACCGCTCTGAGTTTCTCTTTTCCCCATGCATAAGACAAAATAAAATCTACTCTCAAGATAAGGGTGAGGAACAGGTGTGTGAGAGCAGTTTGTAAACTACGAACATGATATATGTCAGGGGGATGACTGGGAAGTGTTTGATGGAGAAGAAACTAGCCATGGAGGAAGGAGAGGCAGAGCTAGACTACATGCAGAGACGGGAAAGGACTTAGGCTATGAGAACAGAGGAGGCTATGGCCAGAAGCATGGCGGGTGGGTGTTGCTGGAATCAATGCTTTTCCCATTTTTTCCATTCTATCTGGCACCCACCAGCATGGGCTTTGTTTCTTCAAGGATCTCCATGGTTTTGCCTCCTAGATATCTCATGAATCTTGCAACTCTTTGCATCTCCCCCACCAGCACTCTGTTGAAAGCATCATTTCCCACAGAAATTATTCCAGTGTAACCTGAATGATATATTTGGCTCCCATGTCTCCTCTTGACACCTCCTTCCATTCTGCACTCAGAGTGATCTTTTAGCAATAAAAATTTAATCACCTAACTTTTTAGGTTAAAATTCTGGGTCTGTCTGCCCAGGGCTGCTTTAACAAAGTACCACAAACTGAGTGACTTAAAATAATAGAAACGCATTTTCTCACATTGGAAGTCCAAAACCAAGGTGTTGGCAGGGTTGATTCCTTCTGGAGACTCTGAGGGAGGTTCTGCTCCAGATTCTAGCTTCTGGTGGTCGCAGGCAATCACTGGTGTTCCTTGGCTTGGAGATTGCATCACTTCAACCTCCGCTCCTGTCTTCCCATGTACCTGTTTCGTCTGCATCCTCATGTGGCCTTCTCCTTTCTATGTCTGTGTCCAAATTCCCCTCTTCTTATTAGGATACCAGCCTTTGGATTAGGGCCAACCTGACCTCATCTTAACTTGATTACATCTGCAAAGATCCTATCGCCAAATAAGGTCACATTCTGAAGTTCTGGGTGAATATAAATGTCGGGGGGACATGACTCAACCCAGCAGAAAGTCTCCATTCATTTAACATGTACTGAGTTCCTAGCCCCCTCCAGCCTCACCTCTTGCCTACTCTCCCCAGTGCCTTCATCCTGTCCCTCAAACGTGTCAGGTTCCATCCTACACTGGCTCTTTTTTTTTTTAATTGAAGTATAGTCAGCTTACAATGTTGTGTCAATTTCTGGCACACAGCATAATGTTTCAGTCATACATATACATACATATATTCATTTTCATGTTCTTTTTCATTATAGGTTACTACAAGACTTGTTGTTTATCTATTTTATATATAGTAGTTAGAATCTGCAAATCTCGAACTTCTAATTTATCCTTTCCTATTCCATTTCCCCCCTGGTAACTGTAAGTTTGTTTTCTATGTCTGTGAGTCTGTTTCCGTTTTGTAAATAAGTTCATTTGTGTCTTTTTCTTTTTAGATTCCACATATGAGTGATGTCATATAGTATTTTTCTTTCTCTTTCTGGCTTAATTCATTTAGAATGACAGTCTCCAGGTCCATCCATGGAGATTGTCCAGCTATTTGAAGTGAATCACAGCGCTGCCATTTTCTGATATAGTAACTCAGAGAATTAAAGATTTTGCTGCAAACGAAAGACTAGGGTAATATCTGGACTGCAGAGTTGAACTTTTGCCTTAAAAATGGATTAAACAACTCTAATTTGAAAAGATACATGCACCCCAATGTTCATAGCAACACTGTTTACAATAGCCAAGACATGCAAACAATCTAAATTTTCATCAACAGATGAATAGATAAAGAAGTTATGGTTTATATATACAATGGAACACTACTCAGTCATAGAAAAGAATAAAATAATGCCATTTAAGCAACATGGATGGACCTGGAGATCATCGTTCTAAGTGAAGTAAGCCAGAAAGAGAAAGAAAAATACTGTATGATATCACTTATATGTGGAATAAAAAAATGACACAAATGAACTTATTTACAAAACAGAAACAGACTCACAGGCATAGAAAACAAACACGGTTACCAGGGGAGAAAGGGTGGGGGTGGTGGAGGGATAAATTGGGAATTCAGACTTTGCAGATACCAACTACTATATATACAATAGATAAACAACAAGGTCCCACACTGTACAGCACAGAGAACTATATTCTATATCTCATAATAGTCTATAATGAAAGAGAATATGGAAAGGAATATATATCTATAACTGAATCACTATATTGTACACCAGAAAGTAACACAACATTGTAAACCAACTTTATGTCAATAAATAAAAAAATACAAAGTAAATAAAAAAATAAAGCAAAAAGCAAAAAAACCAAAACCCAAAAACCCCAAACCATCCCCAAGTGTCAGCAAAGTTGGTTCCTTCTGAGGGTGTGAGGGAAGGGTCTGTTCTGTGCCTCTCTGCTCGGCTTGTACACGGTGGTCTTGGCCCTGGGTCTCTTCCCAGCCTCTTCCACTATGCATGTGTGATTTTGTGTTTAAAAAAATCCCCCTTTTATGAGGACACCAGTCATGTTGGATTAAGGCTCATACTCATTTTAACTCGTTTACCTCTGTCAAGACCCTGTCTCCAAAGAAGTTCACATTCTGAGGTCCTGGGGACTCCAATGGGTCTTTCTGGGGGAACACAATTCAGTAGCAGTCTCTTTCCTGCTGCATAAGCCTCCTTGTTACCCACAAACTAAGGGCCAGCTCCTTCCTGTGTCTTCCTGAGCTTCCTGTGTCTTCCTGAGCTTCCTGTGATGGGCCTCATCTCTTGCCTCCCTCCCTGCTTTCTTTCATGCCAGCATTTTTTTTGCTGCTTCTTGCCTTGGGGACTTACTGTTCTGTCTGTTTGAAGTGCTCATTCCCCCTGTTTGTTAGCTCTGGTGATCAGTGGGCACTAAGAGCAGACCCCCCCTCCTTTTGGAAGCCTGGCCTGACTTTCTTCCACCAATTCTGGATCGGGCATCCTTTCGCAAACACACTACAGAAGTGAATCTTAGTGCTTACAAGACTGCTTTCCCCACTCGAGCCGCGCGAGGATGAGGACTATGTCTGGTCCTGTGACACCACCCGCCTGGCGTGCTGCCTGGATAAATATTTGTAAAGTGAAAGAATGCCTGGATGGTCATTCAGGATTCTGAACAGATGCAAGGAAGAAATACAGTGGACCTCAGGTCACTGTCTTCAGAGCGGCATTCCGTTGAATTCACTGCATGCGGGTGGAGCAGAGTCCAGGCAGGAGTAGCCATGCCTTCTCTCCTGGAAGGCGCCCCCTGAGTTCTCATTGCTTCAGTTTTCAAACAGATACCCAGGGGCTCTGAGCTGGAGAAACTCTTAGCGATCATGCAGTCCAACCCCCTCACTTTAAATTGGGGCCTGGTGGGTGGAAGGACCTGATGATCATGACATTTTTATTGTCTGAACCAAGACCGGACCACAAGCATCTTGGCTTCTCCCTGGAGAGAGGATGCTTTGCCCTTTTGGGGGCCAAGGCGGCTGAGAGCATGGGCTCTGGCCCACTTTCTAGGTACAGGGATCCTGTCCTTACCAGCTAAGTGGGCTAGGGCAAGTTGCTTAAGCCCTCTGTGGACACGGTCTTTCCACCAGTAAAGCTAGGATAATGGGGTCCCCATCCGTTAGAGTGGTTGGAAGGACTCAGTGAACTCACGTGAAGGTCTGATGCCTGGCAAGTGGTCAGCACCCCCACCCTCAAATTTAGCTATTTAGACTATGAGGCAGAAAAAAATATTTTGGTAAAGTAAGTAACCAGTGGTGGTGAAATGTTGGAAGTCTGCCTGCTCTGCACTTAAGTTACCCAAACATGTGAGAACCAGAGGCTGAGTCATCGTGATCACTCACTCTTTTTTACATACAGAGATAGCGCTGGATTTTGTCAGGTTAATTTTCGCAATAACACATGGATAACCTTTTCCTGATTCATTGCTATCTTATCAAAACACTCAAAAAGTTTTTGATAAATCTGATGCACGGCCACTTTGGAACTCACTGTTCTCAGCTGGCGGGCAGGGAGGAAGGCGTATCTGGTTGGTGTGGACGGAAAACGGGGACTGTTTAGTCCTGGTTGCTTCCTACGTCCAGATATTTTCTCCCTGAAGCTTTGTCTCCAGATGCGGAAGACTTTCCCATGCCATGTTGGCAAATTTATTCAGAATCCACACTTCAGCTAAAGGTTTCCAGTCTCCTTACATCCCTCCCTCACCTCTGCTAGAGGAAACCGTGTCAAGCATGGTGAACAACAGGGTAACAGTTTCCTGACATTGTTTCAAATCCTTTCTCATTCCCCACCTCTGGACCCCAGCTGCATCCTGACTCCTCGTTTCAGAAGACAGAGCTACCCGGAGCCGCTGAGGACTCTCCCAGCCCTTAATGGTTGAAGGTCCCTTCACCGGGCCTCTTTGGGGCCCCTGTCTCTGTGGAACGGGTGCTGTGTCTCCCAGCTATTCCCCCGGGGAATTCTGCTCTGTGCCGTCTCCCAAGTTTAGGCAGAGACGCAAAGCCCAAGGGGTTGGAGAGTGTTGGGTGCCACTTACATGGTGTTGAAACTATTCCAAGAGCCTCCTTGGATGCATGGTCGTGTCTCACTGGTGTGACTCAGCTTCCCCGTTTGTAGGGGACTAAGGGTTGAGGAACGCTGCTGGGCATTGTGGAAAACAGGGATGTCGTGAGAGGGGAATTATTATTTTGTTTGTTTTTTAAGATATGAGATAGATTAATATGGAGGGACAACAGTTTTCAGGTGATGGAAAAATGTGTGGGGTGTGTGTGTTTGTGTGTGTGTGTGTGCACACGTGTGAATATCAGTCCGGGGACAAGCGAGGAAGTGAGATTAGAGTTCCAGGTTGGTTTATGAGGTAGTGTCAGCCTCTTTGGGGTCCAGCGATATTGGTGATGTCACGAGCTCCTCAGTGTGGATTTTCAATATGGAGTCGGAAGAATATTAAAATTGGGATGGCGGTTAGTATTGTTCTAGTCTCAGTTGCCATGGTAGCCCAGCAGCTCCTCCAGCTGTTGGCCTCTGTTAGCTGAGATGGACTCATCTGTCCTCTGGGGAGCCCTTCTGGCTTTTGGGCCAAGAAGGGGGAGGCAGGCCTGGCCCTTTGGTTGCTGGGAAGCACCCCAAGGACTTCTGTACGTATCACCGGAGCTTGGGGCATGGTCGGGGGGAGACTAGACATTCTGTTCATGTATATTTTGGGGTTCCTAAGTTTTAGAGATTCACGTGAAAAGACCTAATCAAGTGCCTGGCTGGCTAGATGACTTCCTTCCACTCCTCCTTTCTTTTTTTTTGGCTTCCTCTCTCCTCTCCCTCCTCCCTTCCTTCTCTTTCCTTTCTTTTTCTTTTTTTTTCCACTTTATTTTCTTCTAAAAAGAATAGGGTTGTTTAGAAAGATATATACAACACAGGATAAAGTTTAAAAAAATCACTGAAGAACAAGAAGCAAAAAAAGTGACGTGTAGGAAAAAGGTGATGGCGAGTGTACAAAATCAGGAGGAAGTTCTGATGCCTTTGTTAGAAGCGCACGTGATTCGGAGTTCATGAATGACCAAGGTGAAGAAGGTGCAAAGAACATCTCAATGATTCTCAGTGTCCAAGAGGTAAAAACAAATTGATGATTTAGGACATGCCCTACTCATTCTGGCTCTGTGATCTGAGAGAAACATCTACGGATTTTCATGAGGCGATTGCTGTGAAATGCAAAGCCAAGCCTTTCCAACAAGGTCCTCAGAGGAAACATTCTTCTCAAGTCTTCTGAAGGTCCTCAGAGGAGGCCTAGGGGGCAATCTGCCAAGATCATATTGAGTCCCAGTGATCCTAGGGGATCTGTAGTATTTGCATGTAGTCTGCTTGCTGATAGCCTGGCTTATTTCAACATCAGTATTTTCTTATGGACAGTAGTTCTTAATTTACAGACACCCCTGACTTCCCTAGAGCAGTTGGATGGCCTAGAGGAGACTGGGCACCCTCTGACGAGGCACGTACATTTTATATGTAGGTAGAAATGTGCTTTTTTCCCCCTGGGGGATGATATACATCAATATAGTTAGATTCTCACAATGATCCTTGATTTAAGATAGACTGAACCATCTATGCAGAGGACTGATGCTCAGGAAGTACTCCATTAATCTCATTTCTCTCCATTAGTTTTTTTTTAATATAGTTTAATGTATTTTAATAGCAAACTTACAGGAACAGCATAGAAGACAGACAACATTAAAAACATGTACTTGCATGTAGGACAACTCAGTTAGAAAAGTATAGTGAATGGATGGAATCTACTGTATGATAAAAACGCTACAAACACCATTTAGTTGCCATCAATAAGAAATTTACTTGTTTGAAAAAAATCCAAATGCTGGCATTGTCCAGAAAAATTTAACAGGTTTATTTATAATTGTTATAAAGTTGAGCTGCTGAAACTTGTTCACTGAAACATTTTAACTTGCATTAATGCTTTATGTCCCTGCATTTATATTAAAAATTCACACACAAATGAAAATGGAAAAACTGCCAATACCTGATTTCTGTCCCCTATTTTCCCACTTGCAGTCATATACTTAGGCACCTTTTGACCCCATGGGAAAAAAAAATCTAACGTTCAGAACTACCAATAACAGGAAGAGATTTTTTTTTTTTTAAAGAATGAAATGTTTCCATCCTAGTGGATTCTTAAGCACGTTCTCCACGTATGCGGCGTCCTAGCTGGATGTCTTTTGGCATAATTGTTACACTTTTGGCATGGATAGCACACAGGTTGGTGTCTTCAAAAAGGCCAACCGGACAGGCCTCACTTGCCGCCTGCAAAGCACCAAGAGCTGCACTCTGGCAACGCAGATCTGTTTTGAAGTCCTAAGCAATTCCCCGCACCAGACGCTGGAAGGGAAGTTTGCGAATCAGAAGTTCAGTGGACTTCTGATAACGTCTAATTTCACGGAGTGCCACGGTACCAGGCCTGTAACGATGAAGTTTCTTCACCCCTCCAGTAGAGGGCGCACTCTTGCGAGCGGCTTTTGTAGCCGGTTGCTTCCTCGCTGCTCATCCACCGGTCGATTTGCGGGCGGTCTGCTTTGTACGAGCCATGGTATAGAGACCTCCTTACTTACCCCTCTTCTTCGGCTGGAGCTCGGCAATCTAGAGGCAGTGCTGGCGTCGGAGAGCAACGGCGGCGCGGCGGCGGCTGCAAACACCTCCATTAGGTTTCAATAGTCATGTTAGTGGTGATGAGTTCTGCATTAGCAAGTGCCCAGAGGACCACTCATCTGAATGTCTAGTAAGGGCTGAGCAATTAGCATTCACCGTCAGCCATGCAAGGCTAGGACTGAGATCTGACTGGGGAGGTTGAGGGGTCTTTGAAAATCTAGTTAATGCGACTGGGATCCTGTGGAGCCGGGCAGAACACCCTTGTCGGCTTAGGAGGTTAACTGACTTCTGCTTGGATGTGAGCCTGGAACATTCCCCTGATAAATCCAAGCCTCCCATAGAAGAGGAATCTGATGTCTGTTCTGACTCAATGCTCGAAGCCACCAAATTTCTTTGCCAAAGAGCAGGACCACTATCATTTTAGCCTGGAACTTTTTTTTAAACTTTTTTTTTTATTGATTTATAATCATTTTACAATGTTGTGTCAAATTCCAGTTTAGAGCACAATTTTTCAGTTACACACGAACATATATATATTCATTGTCACATTTTTTTCTCTGTGAGCTACCTTAAGATCTTGTATATATTTCCC